AAGAAGCATAAGAACGAACACAAGGAGGGGGGGGGGGGGGGGGTAATATGAAAAGTGGAAGATGAAATCATTTCGGGGATTAAGATATCGTTAGATGAACAAAAAGAAAAACAAAGAGAAGGCTGACAATTGACAATGCTGTCTAGTATAACAAGTGATCTAGATGGTCAACTAGGGGGCTTCAGCATCAACACCAAACAAACGGAGGGAGAGTCAACCAGTGGCTATATGATATTCAATTGGTGTAGACGGCGTCGTTAACAAGCAAAACTCCTCTCGAGATTTGAACAGGGAAGATGATGGGAGAGGGAAAAAGGTTGATAAGGAAAAAAATGTTCAATGAGTCATTTTTTCATTATTACAAAGTACATTATAAAACAAAAGTTCAGTATAGCGTCAGAAGTCTGTCTTCGTCTATGACGAAGAGGTAAAGAGGTGAAGTCATTTTTGATCAAATTCAACCTTGAAGATGAACAAGGTAAGAATATCCACAAACGGCTCATTAGGCAAATGCTATAACAGTCAATCGTTTGGGAAAGGCGATTGAAAGAATAGTATTGGCCGATAGCAACTAACACTTAACATGACGATATTGTTCGCCAATGATGCCCATAGGTTATGATTAATCAGAATTGAATTATTAAAACGTTATAGAAAAGCTAAACGAGAATGGTTTGAATAGCGACAAGGTTATAATCATCAAAAGGAACGAAAAAACGTATTATAATCGTGCGATTGAACAAGGTGTGATTCAGGCAATTTCGCTTTAATTAAAGTAATAATTGCGCGATGAAGGATGTGAGTAAGAAAAGCTACTAACAAATTGGCGAAAGAGAACGAAAAAATATTGAATCAATTCCTTCTCCAATGCAATTTGATATGTAAACAAAAGAAAATATAAACATGAGGTTCGAAATCTATGACCATCCACACATTGTGCAGTGGTAATAGATCACGCATAATCGAACAAGTGACAGTGTGATTCCTGCTGATAAAACAATCAAGTAGGTCAGAAATTAAAAGAGAACCGAGAAGGCTGTAAGCGTGTCTCTAACGAGAGGATCCATCCATATAGAACTGACAATACTATATATATAACTGGTTGTGAACGACAGTTAATGAAAAAGAAAAAGAATTATTGAACGGACAGACCCGAAGTAGGAAAAATGAGACGAAAAAAAGTGGTTTCAATACACAAAATGAGTTATTAAGTGACCTATAGACAGAGAGAGTTCGCAGATTTAGATATTTAATGATGTTCAAGTCGGATCGTTTCAGTTGCCAACGAAAAAACTTTAAATTATCCGGAAGTAAACGCTGTATTCATGGAAACGATCAACGCTCTTAAATAATGCACTTTTGACCGCAAAATCGAAGTGAGCAGCCAGCTAGAGGAGGCTTGCCAGGCTCATGGGGATCGAATTAGCATTGGAGCGCTGTTGTGTAGGCAAATATCAATGCTTAAACGAGAAAGCCATGTATATATGTCAGCTGGGATGGAATAACCGGAATAAAGTTACTTCCATACCTATCCATTACAAAGTAATTTTCCATAAATCTCGCCAAACAGGGTTAGAATTGAATTAAATTAACTTTTGTAATTCGTTTTCCTTTTTGAGTATTCAAAATCTGCTGATTGGCTAGTATGGGAAGAAAAAGGATATGAGGAGAGAGAGAGAGGAAGAGAGGAAAAAAGTTTTATAAATGAATGGATAAGATTGAAAGAATAACTAAACTAACTTGAAAGAGATGACATCTGTTGGTTGAGTTTGACCATATGGCACAACCGTCTCACATCATCATAACGTTAAAAATGAAAGTTCTCGTTCGGACGTGTATTCTAAGTTGACGTAAGTACGTGAAGCTGTGGCAGTTTTCACACTCTCTGAAATAATGAAAACAACATTTGAAGAAGTTTAGAAGATGATTTTGAATATTAAAATAAAAGTTCCATAATATTGCACTATTCAAATGGCTAGACTATAATCCTGACAATGACAAGTAGCACCTATTGAACAACATATGCTATTCAAGTGCCTCAACCAGTTATTTGCCCAAAAGGTTTTTGGTTAGTCTCTTTCGCTTTCAATGATTCTCTAGCTTCTTCAACTTTCACTCGGATTAAGCCTAAAAATAGATATGCGAAGATGTTTCGCTGCAAATGAGAAGAAAAAAAAATAATTATAATACATAATTTGCAACCAACAGAGACAGTGTCACAAATATTTTCGGACGCACAAAGGTTTTGCGCCGAGAACTGTGTACTTAGGCGATTTCGGAGCAATTCAAGAAAACTTTTGTTCCCTCTTCTCTGATTTCTCTCATCTAAATGTTTTATAAGGAATTTTATAATTACAACAAATATTCTGAAGTATATTCGTTTACTCTAACCCACATTGTTATTGATGTTATCTAGATTTTTGAAAGTCGAAAAATCTTGTCTTCTTCAAACTCTCGATCCTCTCACCTTTAGACGAGCCAAACAAATCCTGTGAGGATATGTGTGTCTCGCCCATCTGCCCATACTCTACTGATCTGCTTCCAAATTATTAAAATCAATTCTCTCAGTCGATGTTGTCTCCGTTGTTTTGATTGTGTTCTCTTCAGATCATATTTCTCAATAATACATTGTTTTTTACAAATTCGTTTATTAAACATGCAAAGTAGTTAACCCCTTTTGAGCCGCACAATACAAATCACAACCGGCTGTTCTCTGATGAGAAAATCAATTTCCCTCAGATTTTTAATTCAAAATCTTAGTCAGAATGTTGCGACTTATGTCTTATTCTGTAGTTTCGTGTGATGTTGAGTAGGTTTGAGTAAGAACCCGAGTTTCGGAACTTTTTCCAGATTACGAGACTGGTAGTGAAGATGTTGCCGCAGGCTACAGTAAGGAACAAGTAGCATAAAGCCAATACCTAAAAAAGTAAGAGATTCATAAGAGTATTTGTCCGATCCTCCAAACCTGCCACTGGCCTGGACATTGATACGACAAGTTCCAGAGTGTGTAGGCATTGTACAATTGGAAAAACTGAAATAAATAGACGTCGGCTAGGAATGAAAGTTACACGCACGTAGCCTAAGATTAAGAATGGTAGAAGGAAGGTTAGTCCTTTGAACATATTGGAATTAAATCCTTCTAAGGTGACATCCATTTGATGACCTTTACCAAGGGCATGAAGTCGCCGGAGAGTTCCTTGCTGGTACTGATTCTGAAATTCTATTATGAGGCAATGCCGAACACAATAAACACCTGAAGTAGTTGAACTAATCCTATGTAAGCCACGAAAACTATAAACTGTGAGCGGAAAGCTTTGTAGCATTCTCCTTCCTTCCATATAAGGACGATTCCAGACAAAGCACAAGAGATGTAGTGATGTGCTACCCACCAGCCTTTGATTCTAAAAAACAATAAATAAACGATGCTTTCCAGATGGACGAACCTCGATCCGTTAATTCTGAGGATACTCTCTCTTATGGTGAGAGTGCAATAGTACCTGAGGGCAATTGTTTGGCGAATATTTTTTTTCTAATTCTTACCAAACCATCAAAAAGTTGCCAATTGAGTCGATTGGTCGGAGAGGGAACAGAAAAGCAACAACTGTCCAAACAAGGAAAGTTACGGTAACTTTCCACTTGAAGGATTCGTAGTCCTAAAGTTAGATTACTACATCAATTACGCGACAACACGCTACCTGTTTGTATTTGAAACGTCCATTAGCTGTGAGAATGGAGAGGTTTAGGTTGTGTCCTTAAAAGGAAACCTTACTCAGTTCAAAAACTAAGAGAAACCAAGAATGAGAGATAGATAGAATCCGAGATTTTCAACAGGTAGTTCCGATTGCATCATTTTCAATCTCAACCGCGCCTCCGCAATCTCTTTCTTGAAAGCTTCTATTTTCTCTCTGTCCTCATCTGTCTTAGCAGCATTTTCTGCGCTGAACATTTGAAGATGAAAAGTATAGTAAGAAGTTTTACGAGTACTTTGTGAGAACTTCTTTCAAATTCGAGATTTGATAATTCAAATGCTTAATTGCTTTCAACCTCGAATCCTGGATATTCGATATCTCAGAGAGCTTGTGAACATACGTATCATGCTCTTTCTAGAATAAGCCGAGAACTATGACAGTAAAAGGTTTGTTGAGTACCTCCGATACGTTCAGTTCTTTCCGGAGAGCTGCCCATTCGGTATCAAACTGTTCCATCCCTAATAAAAGAACTACTTGAGCTATTATAAGAAGAATGGGAAGTATTGAAAGTACGCTAACTTGTATCCGGCAAAGAACAACGTTAGTAACAAATATTATTATTTCGGTTATTAATGGAAATATAAATAATATGTTCAGATTCTAAAGAGATACTTGAGATTGAGTCAATTATTAAGCGCTTATAAAGCATACGAACAGTAGGGTAAGCAAGGCATAGCTGAATATGAAAAACAGGTTTTGAGCTTGAAATAATACTGAGGTATAACCCGGAACAAAAAAGGGTACAAGGAGGGAATAAATGATCAATAATGATAAGAGTTTCCTATTTCAAAATTTAAATTGCCGTTTCACGTTCAAATGTTGGCAAACTGTTAACTGTCGGGGCATTACTGCGACAGTTGATAGTCGCTTTGGTTGATCTGGGATCAGCTGAGGCACTCTCACTAACAGCAGGATCGTCTTCTTCTTTTACGATGTTCTAAAAAAGTCTTATCAATCATGTCAAGCTAAAATGCTCTGCTAACCTGTGGAGCAGGACTGCCAGCAATTTCAACCTCTGGAGGAAGGAGTAATCGGCGAGCTTCTGGTATTTGCAGGGGGAAATGTTCAGCTCTGTGAATAGCTAAGGCAGGTCCCCATGAATCATCAGGATTTAATACACTTTGCCATTTCTGAACGACAAGTTCTTATCATCACTTGTGCACCCTCACTATACCTGCGTCAAGTTTCCACGAGCGATACAAATTTGATACAAGGCTGTTATTGGTATGAATAACAATGGGAATATGCTGATAGCCCATCCGAGAAGCATTGCCCAATATGGGAAGACGTAAGCATCATAGCTCAGAGACTGCCATTCCAACCATAGAAAACAGAGAATTGCCTTAATCAACAGGTTTTGAAAACACATGATGGATACTGGTACCAAGTAGGTTATGGGACAGAAAAACTTCCATAACAACTTCCAGAAGATGTAACACGGTGGGTAACTGCCCGTTATCCATTTAATATTATCTAATAAGTTATCAACGCCATATACCTGGCAATGATATGATGAGTAAAGAGTGAATGAGTTAACACCTACCCAACTGATAGCCATGCACTCCAGGAAAGCCAAAACAACTAAAGGCCATGTTATAGTAAACTTGGATAATAGTAGAAGCCAGTACAACCCAGACTAGAAAGAATGATTAAAGTTCTTTGTTCCAGACCATATATTTTTTGATAGAATGATTCTTACTGATAAGCAGAAGGGAATACTCAAGAGAATGAAAGATGCGCAGACAGAAGTAAGTACATGTCGTCGATTTTTTCGCAATCGTTCAGGAAAATCATCGCACAACGAAGAAACGATAGTCTCGACCTGCAAAAGATAACTGAGAAACAGAAAGAGACACAAACATACCACAAATAATTGAGTAGAATGGATAACAAGCAGTAGCATCAAGAAGAATAATCCTGTGTACAAAGGTGCAACAGGTACACCAGCCAATGCCTCAGCCAAGAAAACGAAAACAAGATGGAAACCATCTTGAATATTCAACAATGAGAATTAGAAACAGTGTGCAACTATTACCTTTGATATGGAACTTATCTAAAGCTATCGAGAATTCGAAACACGTGAACCCTATGGCAGAGAATGTCAACACACAACAAACGATAGACGCAAGAAGATCGATTATTAAAATGATCCATATGTCTCTGTAAAATATGATACATGGAAACCTCCGAATATCAGACTAACTTGAATAGCTTGTTGTGGAAACGATTGTAACTTGACAAAGTGGTTATTCCACCAGTACAGACAGAAACAGAATAGAAGGCATGAACAGCGGCTTCCCCCCAAACCTTAGAGAGAACTTGGTTAATTTGATAAATAAGACCTTTGCCTACCTTCAGATCTTTCAAAACAGACCAATCCGGTTTCAAGAAATGAATGAGAGCAGCAACTGATCCTTCCAAGGTAAGAAGTCTGGTGAGAATGACAGCAAGAATGATAAAAGGCAGCAGAACAACAACATAAACAACCTTAACAAATTGATGTTTTCAAAAAAAGAACAGAAACATACTTTTCCACTGCTCTTAACCCCTTGAAACAGACAGAGAAACACTGCGATCCAAGATACTAGCACACATATACCAAGGTACCAGTTCAACGTACCAACATCATCAAAGGCTCCAGATAACATAAGAACGTCATTACTGAATTGTAACAATGATATAATAACAAGAACTGAAATGACTTACTGAAAGTAACGTAAACTGGGAATAGTCTGTTGGTCAGGAAGAGTCATTATACTCACTGTAGAATTCGCCTGAAACAAATGAAGCTACTTTGAACTAATCAAAAATGTTACCTGCTGAACAATACATGAACCATTAACAAGAAGAGTTCCATTCATAGCCGTACAAGTCATTCTTGTACCCATCGTGCAATCTGAATCAAGTTTGTATTTCAAACAGAGTGGTGGCTTAGACTTACTCAATCCACTCCATGAGTTCTCGCAATTACTCCACGGCAATGAGAAACTTATAGAGTTGATCAAATAGAATAATGACCAAGATGAAACTATGTTGAGGTATATGGCAAGTACACAACTAATTAAAACCATAGCTATGCCTATTCCCTTCAAAGAAAATGATACGAAAAGCTAATTAAGATTGACAAACTTTGAATAAAGGAACAACTTTCCATACTGCAATAGCTGCTAAGGAAGAAAACTGACCAAGAACCTAATATAAGGCGAAATATCATGAGAACTGTTTCAAATCACCTACGGCTTCCATGAAAAACATCGGCAGAGCCGCAAGAATGAGTAATGTCAAATAAGGAATGAAGAAGGCAGCACCTCCATTTTGGAAGACCAAAACAGGAAATCTCCATAAGTTTCCTTAAATAAAAAGTTTCTCCCTCGACTATAACTCTAGCTCACCTAAACCAAATGTAAAACCGACGGCCGCTAGGAGATAATCTGATTTAGAGCACCAATTACCTCGTATTCTGGAAACAAAGAGAAAAAATGAGAAAAAACAGAGAACAACCGCATATCGTTTACGTACATAAAGAAATGAGTTATACGTGGGTCTCACGTGAGAATGAAGCAAAAGAATTTTCATTTTTGAAACCTTAGAGCGGTTGCTTTGTTTATGAAACTACAGTCAACATACCGGTTTTCATCTCCAACTCCCGTTGTTTCTTCGAAAGGATATTCTACGTCTCCCTCACGTTCATAATCAGGAAGCTTAGCATCGATCTTGAGACAAATATGGATAAGACTGAATATCATTTCGTATGAACCTGTTTTATAAACGGTGGATATAATGAGTAATCAACACTTGGTTCTTTGGCATTCCCTCTGCGAACATAAGCAGGAGTCGTAATACTGCCTTTACTCTGTTTCTGACTCAAACTGCTCACAGACATAGTGGTAGGTATAATCCTATAAAATACTTTTTTGTAGTTTTCAAAATTTAAATGTTAGCAAGTTAAAACAAGAGAAGAAGGGATAAGCGTTTAACAGCAAGATGAAGAGCAGATGTAAGATCTTTAGCTTTACACTGACAAGAGCGTATTCGCCAGGTGGTCAACACATGAAAAAAAGCATTAATGAAGAATTGGATATCATATTGAAGTGTTTATGTATCTTTTCTCCCAAACAAGGAGTCATCATGAAAATGCATTTGCTTTCTTCGGAAGATCTCTGAAACATGAGAAACTGCATAGTGGTGTATTACATTCTTAAGATGAGTCATTCGACAGCATAATTTAGATCACTTTCTCATTTCAGAGTTCCAAAGTTATTCAATACGTAATAACTTCCAGATCTTAAGATCTAGGCTAACGCTCATGGGATTTCCATTCTCTGTACGCAATTTAGCGTAACTGCCACCGTATGTTATAATTCTAATAAGAAGTAGCAAACAGTGATATGTGGGTTCGATGAACGATACAATGATTAGATTTACTGTTAAAGGTTAGATTTCAACACATTTGCTTCAGTTTTTTAGTCTTTTTGATTTCATTAATTTCATGTAAGTAGATAAGAAATTTATTTTGAAAAGGGTTTCAAGTATTGGTGAGAGATTCAAGGTGTATAGCTGTGTATAAGATATGAGACTAACGAGGTTAAACATACCAATAAATTACGATATGGAATCAAATCACTCAAGATCAGTGATGTTAGAAGAAACATGATTGTTAGAAGGAATGAATACTTCAGACATTACATGAACACTGAGCTGTAAGAGCGGCACAGTTGCTACAACCCTATAAGAAAACAAACACACACAACTAGACTAGTTCTCATTCATCGAAAATAAATCCCGAAAGTAAAACACACAATGTATTGCTCATCAGGTACCATAGGGGCGTCAAAGGGTGCAGTTTGGTTATCAGAAATAATTAAAATGGGTAATGCTCATCTTGAGCAGTGGCCTTTCCTCTTCTAGACCTCTTCCAAACTTTATGATCAGACTCCTTCGTGATCCTTCACCCGTTAATCTTAGAAGCAATGGCATTACATTTATCCGTTATCACGTGAATGCAGGTGTTATTTCACATGAGCAGACCCAATTTCGTTGCATATTTCTTTGAATTCTAGTTATCCATGTCTCAAAGCTCAATTAGGTTGATTAGTCGACGTGTACGCAAATTCACGTCAGCCTCTATACTCGTAACTATATTTCTGGCTGATTCACTTTTCCGCTCTCTGCCAAGTTGACGTGTAATAACACGTCTGTCCTTCGCCGAAAACTGCGCTATAAAAGGAAAATTCTTATGAAGTAGCAACAGAGATACTCTTTCGTGTTTCCTATACCCATTACAATGGACACAGCGTTGAAATGGATTGTAACTTTCTTCAAGTTATACTTTTACTTCATTCTACTTCTCATCAATAATGTCTATGAGTTCTTCGTCAGAGTGAGTGTTCACATCAGTTCCTGGAAATTAATGTTCTTCCCTTAAGATATTTTGTGGTCATACTCCAGCTGGAAAAATCCGTTTGAGAAAGATTCTTCTCCGATATAGAATAGATCCTGAAGAAATATCTCGAACTGAAGACTTCCTATTGAGTCCTGGAATTTTCGTCGAGCCGGCTAGCTTAGATCATCCTAACTGGCATATCTATTGTATCGATGAGGTAAGGTAGAGCAGTATCCGAAAGACTAGAGTAAATTCTAGAACTTGGTCACTTTTGTCTATCTGAAGTCGTCTATCGACAAATACAGCATCGCCCATTATCCATTTATGTACGAACACATGAATGCTGATGTGAGTATCATCTTTCAAATGGTTAGAGAAATGTCTTCCTTACAGACAGTTCAAGTGGCACAACTTAGCCATGACGACTTTATCAAATTGGCAAATACTTTCGAACAGAAGTCTCAACCGAAAACCGTGAGATTGCTTCCCTGTAACTTGTAATCCTTTCCTATGCAGGTTCTTTTCACCAACACAGCAAGATGTGGCTCAACACTGATGGCAAAAATGCTTCATCACCCTGGTAAATCGATATGCTATGGAGAGCCTCATTGCCTTGCCAACCTGGCCATTATGGATAATGCCAACATATTATCACCTGAGGTTATTTCACTCTTGAGCCGGAAAAAACCAAACGAATAATACAGAGAATGAAATCGTTGGTATCAGCTGCCATCACCTGCTTGAGAGTTCATACA